ACACCCAAGTCAACCCCTGATCTGATTTCCAAGAACTTCATCGTATAAATAGAATCATACAGGCTTTCTCCTCTTTTGCCTCCAGTTTCTCTTACTCAGGATAACATGGGGGAAGATTCATCCACGTTGTTGCACAGTAGTTGTTCCTTTTCATAGCTATAAACTGGTATTCCATTCTATGAATACACAATGTGTTTATTCACATACATTCTATGTATTATTCCATTCATATAAGCAATCTAAATTGTTACATTATAAAACTGCATATATTCAATATAAGAAGATATGCAAAAAATCTTGGTAGCTTCTAAGTTGCTTCTCTTGCTACAGTCTTCAGTACATTCTTACCGCAAAGATCAATCTTTCCTTCACCTGAAAATCTTCTATTACGTTTGCTCTCATCCCCTGCAGGAAGCAATCCCTCTTGCTTCCTGGTTTTTACTTCACATGATACACCACTTTTTACTTACTTGGTGTTATGGTTACTTATATACATATCTAATATCAATGACTAGACTCTAAGCTGCTTGAAGTCAGGATCCAAGTGATTTTTAGGTTTGCCTGGTGCACAGTACTTAGCAAATTGCTGGCTTGTTGGAAGGGCTCGACACAGGTCAGCTGAGAGGTAAATAGGTGAATTCCTCTATTCAAAAGTAGCTTCAATGGCTCTGCGCCTTGTAGTTTGTCATGCAAACTCTTCCACAAGGAGCTCCAACCCAGCTTTCCAACTGCAGCCCGGTGATTTTTCCTACATAATACCTCTCCTTCAGTTAGAGTCTTCTTTGCTAACTTCCATGCTTTTATCTGTGATATTATTCCAGTCTGGTAGAAAACATACACACACACGCACACGCACACTATGCACACACAACCCTATCTTTATTTTCCACGCCTCCTTAACAAGAGTTTCAAGATTTCTGTTTCCAGGGGCCCCCACCAGGGCACCCCACCACCATCTGCCACCTTGGTCAGCAGGGACCACAAAATAAGCAGTTGCAGATCCTGCCCGGTAGGGGGAGGCGTGCCCATAAATCTTCGGCTAAATCCAAGGCTTTTCTGAAGCCCATGAGATTTTTAAGAAGCCACATGTTTTATAAAACACCGTCTTCTAGGTTAAAGAAATAAACAAGAGTTCAGCTAACTCCTTCCTCTGATTACAAACTGGGTAATCTCTGCTTACCAAATCACAGTAATTTAAGCCCGAATAACAAAGAAAAAACCATTTGACCATTTTTAATCTCTAAGGACCTCACTCTAGTTGCATCCTCATTTTTTTAAATCCACAAAATCTATTCACAGATTGAATACTAAATCTGTGTTGTTGAATCAGGAACTAGTAATGGAAAGCTGGACGTCTTGCCCTCCTGACGCAGAGATTAGTTCAAAAGAAAAACATCTGTACTGCCTACTTCTTTTCCATCTCCACCCACTTCTTAGCATCATTTAGGTTTTAAAAATGTTTTGTAATGGTCTACCAAATGGCAGTCATTTTTTTATGTACTAGGTTTATGATACCATGGGATTTGATTTGACTCAGTGTTCATCATTGAGTCACGCTGATCACAAACCAAAAGTGAACAGTCATCATGAAACAAACTGTGTCACATCGCAGGGAACAAAATGGTAGCCCCGCCCGTTCTCACACAGGGGCAGATAGATTTCACAGAGAATTAGTAAAGCTCAGTGCTTCGTAAGCCTAAAAATTAATGATGCTGGAAGAGATCATTCCATTTCATAAATGAGAAAAGTAAAATCTAAAGAGATCAAAGTGGCTTCTTCAAGAGACTACAGCCAGTTAGTGACGAAACAGACTAGAGTCCAGTGGTTTGGACCTGTTAACAGCTAGGATGATCTTCATCTACAAACACTATTCATTGCACTTCCTTGGCAGTGTCAGCAAGAGATGATATCTTAAAAGGATCATTTTCGTGCCCAGTTCCTTTAGAGATATACTAAGAAAGCAATGCAAACACCAGCTCAACTTGAAGAAAGCCTCTCTAAGCAGCCAGCCGGTCTTGCAGCTTCTTAGAGCCGCCACACTGGCATCTTTTAAACAAGTCCTTGTGTGAAGAATCTTCAAGGAAGAAAGCAAAATCCATCCACAGTGAATATTGCACGTGTTGGCACACATCCTATTCATTTCTCCTGCAATTATTTATTGGGTGGAGTATGCAACAAGAGTGTGTTATTATATTAGTCAGTTATTTGTCCCTTGAATCTAAAGAAAACACCTACAACTCCCATTGCATTAGAGATAGGAAGGAAATGCTAAAAGACATGTTAAAAAGACAGTGCTTAATAACAATGACACTTGAGGTTTGTAACGCTTTGCGTGGTGGATCGCAAAGCACTTGGCAAATGATCATGACATTTCAAAACAATATTATTCTGAAGGAGCATCATATTGTGATTTCCTCTTGATAAGTCAGAGAAAGAAAGATAGTTGCCTGTTAAAATCTACCTAGCAAATAGGAATTTTAGCCCTAACATTTTTATTTTTAATTATGCCTAATTTTGTACATTAGCTAAAAATTTGTTGGGAATACATTTAATTCAAATTAAATAAATAAAGTGATCTTAGGATCTAAACTCAAACGTCCTGTGCTCATTCTGAGGCAGCAGTAACTTTTCTGCCTTCCTGACATAAAATTCATACAAAGAACCCTCATAAAACATCATCTGAAATTCCAGGAGTGGAATATGTGAGGCAACTTAACAGGGAATAGAGCAACTTCAAAAGAAAAAATACAGAAGCTAAGATTCTCTTCCTGGAACTATCACTGTTAAATATTAATCTAGGAATTCAGGTTTGGGATGAGGTAGGAGGATGGGTGCCAGGGAATGAGAAAGGAAGAGAAGCAGACAAAGACTATTTAAATATGTATGATTCTTATTTGAAATCAGAGAAAGATTCCCTACTTTCAAGACTTGAAGTGTCATTATAATTAAGTACTTCAAATATTTTATATTATATTTGATGGGTTTTGACGTCAAAGAACTTAGGGGGCAAAGTGTCAGCTAACATAGAGCATTCACTGCAGCCCCCAGAAGCTTTCAAAGTCATCACAGAGGCTTCAGTCTAGTCCGTCTCAAAAAAGCACAATACCTTAGGAGTGCAACAATTTCTCAATTCCAAAGTGGTCAATAAGATGTAAGTGGAACTTGTTGACTAGGGCCTCTGGAAAAGTTCCTAAAAGACGACTGACTCAGCTATGAGGTGAGTTCTTTCATGGTTCTGCCCACGTCTCCTTCCTCCTGCCTGAAGTGTGGACATGATGGCTGGCATTCCAGCAGCCATATTATATCTTGAGATAGATCTCGAGAAAGAAAGCCACACTCCAAAGGTGGCAGAAGAAAGATAAAAAGAACCTACATACCTGATGACCAAGTTGATGAACTGCCTGATTTGGGATTTCTTTTACATAATAGGAAGTCTTTTTTTTTTTTTTGAGACGGACTTTTGCTCTTGCTACCCAGGCTGGACTGCAATGGCGCGATCTCGGCTCACCGCAACCTCTGCCTCCCGGGTTCAGGTAATTCTCCTGCCTCAGCCTCCTGAGTAGCTGGGATTACAGGCACGCACCACCATGCCCAGCTAATTTTTTGTATTTTTAGTAGAGAAGAGGTTTCACTTTGTTGACCAGGATGGTCTCGATCTCTTGACCTCGTGATCCACCCTCCTTGGCCTCCCAAAGTGCTGGGTTTTTCATTATTCACTGATATAGCCAACTCAACAGCTTTTAGGATTCTACTTTCTCTAAAACTGTCTGATTTTTTTTTTTTTTTTTGGAAATGGAGTCTTGCACTGTCTCCAGGCTGGAGTGCAGTGGCGCAATCTCGGCTCACTGCAACCTCAGCCTCCTGAGTTCAAGCGATTCTTCCGCCTCAGCCACTCGAGTAGCTGGGACCACAGGCATGTGCCAACATGCCTGGCTAATTTTGTATTTTTAGTAGAGATGGGGTTTCACCATGTTAGCCAGGATGGTCTCCATCTCTTGACCTCGTGATCTGCCCACCTCGGCCTCCCAAAGTGCTGGGATTACAGGCATGAGCCACTGCGCCTGGCCCTTTGATTCTTAAGGAAACACAGTCAGTACTGTTTTCCTTGACTTTCTAAGATGGGTCCACCAAGTCCTCCATGTTATGTAACTCCAGAGGACCCCTCTTATATCATGGGCTGAGACGCTCTTACTTAGATGACAGTGCGAATAGGGTCCTCTGGATCCTCGGGTCCCAGCTCATAGAATTTCTGTTTACCTTTGACCTTCTTGGAGTTACGTCCTCAGGGAAACAAGTAAAAATGTTATTTTATTTATTTATTTATTTTATTGAGATAGAGTTTCGCACTTGTTGCCCAAGCTGGAGTGCAATCTCAGCTCACCACAACCTCCACCACCCAGGTTCAAGCAATTTTTCTGCCTCACCCTCCCAAGTAGCTGGGATTACAGGCATGTGCCACCATGCCTGGCTAATTTTGTATTTTTAATAGAGATGGGGTTTCTCCATGTTGGTCAGGCTGGCCTCGAACTCCTGACCTCAGGTGATCTGCCTGCCTCTGCCTCCCAAAGTGTTGGTACAGGCCTGAGCCACCGTGCCAGACCTAAAGTTTATTTTAGATTCAAATATTGGTTAAACAATATTTAATACAATCTATGGTATTATAATTTTATTAAGGACTAATTTAAACTAGATTTCTCAAACTTGTAACCTATGGATCACTTTGGCAGATAAATGAATGCTATGAACCATCTATAATGCTGCTTTCCTCGGCACAAGAAAAGGAAGAAAGAAAGAAGCTAAAAAGAAAAGAAGGGAAAAGTTACCACCGGAAATGGAGTGGAACGGAATGGAAAGGAACGGAACAGAATAGAATAGACTAGAATAGAATAGAATGTGCTATTAATCATGAAACAATCATATAGGAAAATTATTTCCCATTGAAATAAAATAGTAACATTGGTAAGAATGACAACATTTTTAACATTGGTTGTGATACAGACCATTTGTTGTGATACAGCTTTCTCTAAGCAGCCATTGTTCCAAGTCCTTTTTTCAAGTCCTCTACATGTATTAACTCAGAAGTGGTCTGTGGCCTTTTAGGAACTGGGCCCACAGAGCCGGAAGTGAGCGGTTGTGAGCGAGCGTCACCGCCTGGGCTCCGCCTCCTGTCAGATCAGCGGCAGTGTGAGATTCTCATAGGAGCGTGAATCCTATTGTGAACTGCGCATGCGAGGCATCTAGGCTGCGGGCTCCTAATGAGAATCTAATGCCTGATAATCTGAAGTGGAACAGTTTCATCCCAAAACCATCTCCTCCACCCTACCCTGCACCTCAGAAAAACTGTCTTCCATGAAACCTGTCCCTGGTGCCAAAAAGGTTGGGGATTGCTGTATTAACTCATTCAAACCTCATAACAAGCCTCTGAAGTAGGTTATTATTATTATTATTACCATTATGTTTATTGGACAGATGAATAAACAGAGGTACAGAAAGCTTAAGTGACTTGCCGAAGTCTCGCAGTTAGTTAGCGGTGGAACCAGGATGTAAACTGAGATCTCTCTAACCCCTCCTCACCCCCAAACATATACCATCAACTACCACACCATACTGCCCCAGTAGTTTAAAACAGGCAACATCATACTGTAAGCACTACAATTAGAAGATCTAGACTACAGCCTCCAAAAGGTAAGGGCTATTTGTATTTTGTTCACTGCTCTATGCTCAGCGCCTAGAACCCTATTTGGCATGTAACTGGCACTCAAGTAATTATTCAGTGAATGAAGAAATGAATGAGTGGATAGGTACAGAAAACTTTACAATACTCCCAGGTGCAAGGGATCAATGTTTGAAGAATTGCTTTTTGGGGTCGCCATGAGCAGCAGACCCATCCAAGGAGAAACACATTTGTGATAGAGCTTTGTAGGATGTGCCATCTTTGTAGGATGTTACACCCTATGAGGATTTATTTCCACTTTGCTCTTGAGGAAACAGTCTTTAGCAACTGCCGGAATTCAGGTTTAACATCCTCTCACCCATTCTTGCACTGTGGGCACTCACCCTAGAGTGTCTTGCCAGTCATGGGGTGAGAAGCCCCCTGGCCACTCACATTTCACTGCCTCTATTCCCTTCATGGCTATGGGCCTGCATTCACCGCTATCCTTGGCCCACAGTCTAACTTCTGATCTTGGTGTTCCACGTATCTACTGTGGAGTGCAAACTTAACAGCTTAAAGAGCAATTTCTTGTTATTATTTTCCATGGTTCTGGAGGTTGACTGGGCTCAGCTGAGTGGTTCTTGCACAAAGCCTCCCATGTGGTTACAGCCTGATATCACGTCAGCTGTGACTGTAGTCATCTGAAGGCTCAACTGGGCTGGATGTCCTATGAGGCCCATTCACCTGGCCTGCAGCAGATGATGGTGCAGAAGGGCTGTTGACTTATGTGAGCCTCTCGCTGTTGCTTGAACTTCTCATACAGGGTGTTTCACTCTAGTGGAGCATCCCAGGAGCGGGTGTTTCAAAGCTCAGAAAGCGGAAGCTGCCAGGCCAGTGAAGGCTTGGCTCAGAACTGTTATGACGATATTTCCACTGTATCCTATTTATCAAAGCAACCATCGGCCCACCCAGATTCCCGGGTGTGGACAAATAAATTCCCCCTCCTGATGGGTGAGTGGGAAGGTCATCTTCCTGAAAACATGTGGGAGGGAGATGTTGTTACAGCCATCGTTGGAAAATATGACCTTCCACATTCAGCTTCACGGTTAACCTGCAACTTACAAGCTACCCAGTTGCAGATAGATTTCCACTTCCACGCTGTTATTCTGTGTTTAATTGGGCACAGAACGATTTTCAGTTTATGTTTTTAACTGTTGCCAAGGTTATGTTTGGGGCCTGAACTGTTATTAACTCATATCCTTTTATACCTTCCAAGGCCATTCCAATTCAAAGAGGTATTTTAGCTCAGTGATAAGAGAGCTCATGGGATCCAGGGCATGGGCAAAGCTGCCACCATGTGATTTACATTTGCGACAGCTACTTATACTTCCAGCCAGTTCCAGCCTCTCAAAGAGGACCAGGCAAAAATATAACAACAGGCAAGCACAGTGGCTCAAGCCTGTAATCCGAGCACTTTGGGAGGCCAAGGTGGCGGATCACCTGAGGTCAGGTGTTCGAGACCAGCCTGACCAACATGGAGAAACCCCATTTCTACTGAAAATACAAAATTAGCTGGGCGTGGTGGCGCACGCCTGTAGTCCCAGCTACTTGGGATGCTGAGGCAGGAGAATTGCTTGAACTTGGGAGGCAGAGGTTGAAGTGAGCCAAGATCGTGTGCCATTGCACTCCAGCACATGTACATATATATATACAGATCAGTTCAAATTCATTGCAATAATGAAAACCTCTTTTAAAAATCCATAGTAGCCCCTCTTTCGCACCCAAGTGCCAATCAAATTAGACTTCTCACCCTGGCCTTATTCTATTTTCTTCATGCCCACATTGTCCTATCCTAACTGGATTTCACTCCTCCATCCCCTTCCATTGAAGTATTACTTCTTTGATGGCAAACTCAAATTCCTCTGGATCGCCTTTCCTAATGAATGCCCCTGCTAAGTGAGTGTGACTTCACTCTTCTTTGAGTCTCTGTAACTCCTGCCTGCCGCCTCCCCCAACTCTCACCTTGTCTACTTGGAGTCACAGTACTATTTGGGCTTGTCTGTCTAATTCCCTCCCTGTAGCTTTGCATCCATTCCCAGCACAACTCAGCCCCACACTCCACGCAACAGGTATTCCGTAAATATGCATCAGATTGTATCGAACCTCCAGGAATGCCACTTTCATTATATTGACATTTCCTCTACCAGCCTGGGCCAATACAGAGCTCACTCACCCTCGGAGAGCTTTCTTCATTCACGTTCATCCACTCCTGCATTGGATAAAGTTCGAGTGTTAAGCCAAACGAATGTTTTAACATAACCCTGGATTCATGTTAAATCATCTCACTTCTTTTTTTTTTTTTGAGTTTCACTCTTGTTACTCAGGCTGGAGTGCAATGGTGCGATCTTGGCGACCTCTGCCTCCTGGGTTCAGGCCATTCTCCCGCCTCAGCCTCCTGAGTAGCTGGGAGTACAGGCACACACCACCATGCACAGCTAATTTTTTGTATTTTTACTGGAGACGGGGTTTCACCATGTTGACCAGGATGGTCTCGATGTCTTAACCTCGTGATCCACCTGTCTCGGCCTCCCAAAGTACTGTGATTACAGGCGTGAGCCACCACGCCCGGCAATCAGATCATCTCACTCCTACCAGCAATATTATCTTACCAAAGGAAACAGACATCACATGACACATGCTTCCTCCAGTTCTGGCTCGTTAAAGACCAAAAGAGATGTTCCTGGAGGTGGGCCCATGGCTGCCCAGAAACACCGAATGTAGCTTCCGCAGGAGAAGCCAGGCTTTCCCATCTTCTCCCCGCCATATCCTCAGCAGGCAGACCTTGGGCTGCCTCTTAAATGCTGCTTCTTTTGTTCCCGTTCACGAATGTGGGGACTTACTTGCTGACCCTTCCTGATTCTGCTTTTGTAACTGTGATAGGTTCATTGCTTGATGTGCAGAACAAATCAATACACAGACACCTGGTCACAGCAGAGAAAGAGGTTTAATCTCTTAGGGCTACCGAAGGAGGAGATGGGAAGAGACCTCAAATCTGTCTCCCCAAGGGAGTTTGGGGCTAGGATTTCTTTTTTTCTTTTTCTTTTTCTTTCTTTCTTTTATTTATTTATTTTTTTTTTTTTTGAGAGGGAGTCTCGCTCAGCTGCCCAGACTGGAGTGCAATGGCACATTCTTGGCTCACCGCAACCTCCGCCTCTAGGGTTTAAGAGATTCTCCAGGCCGGACGCGGTGGCTCAAGCCTGTAATCTCAGCACTTTGGGAGGCCGAGGCGGGTGGATCACGAGGTCGAGATCGAGACCATCCTGGTCAACAAGGTGAAACCCCGTCTCTACCAAAAATACAAAAAATTAGCTGGGCATGGTGGCACGTGCCTGTAATCCCAGCTACTCAGGAGGCTGAGGCATGAGAATTGCCTGAACCCAACGGAGGTTGCGGTGAGCTGAGATCGCGCAGTTGCACTCCAGCCTGGGTAACAAGAGCAAAACTCCGTCTCAAAAAAAAAAAAAAAAAAGAGAGAGAGATTTTCCAGCCTCAGCTTCCTGAGTAGCTGGGATTACAGAGGTGTGTCACTACCTCCAGCTAATTTTTTTTTTATTTTTAGTAGAGACAGGTTTCACCATGTTGGCCAGGGTGTTCTCAAACTCCTGACCTCAAGTGATCTGCCTGCCTCAGCCTCCCAAATTGCTGAGATTACAGGCGTGAGCCAAGGCTCCTGGCCTTGGAGTTAGAATTTCTAAGAGTTTTGGAGTGGGCTGAAGTGTGAGGATCATTGATTGGTCCAAGAGTTGGGGGGTGAAGTCAAGGGACACAGAGGTGGAGAAACTATTCTCATGCTGATTCCATTCTTTTGTAGGGGTCTTCAAACTGGGTGGTATGAGCTGTTTATGCTGGAATTCAGGATATGGAAAACATCTTAGGCAATTCTTAAGCAAATACCTTGAGAGTCTAACGTCAGAAATCCTATCTAGAGGAACAGCAGGGACGCAGCTGATCAGTATCTAGCGCTACTTGGCTCTGAGTGACAAGGAAGTGGGCCACAGTGCAGCCTGACTAATGCTTAATTACAACTCTGTTTCTGTCCAGAATTCCTTCTAAGCCTATGAGGACAGCTTGGCTTTTGCTCTGTCCACACTGGGCTGGGTGACTCCCCACATTCCTCATGGGCCTCCTAACCCATTCCACCCCCTGGGTTGGTCTTTGCCACCAGGAGAAAGGATCCCAAGAGGAGTTCCAGCCCCTTCCTGGACTTGTCAGTGAGGGTTCTGTAGAAAAACAGAACCAATAGGACAAGCATAGACAAAGGAGAGGGAATTGACTGCAGGAATTGGCTCACGTCATTATGGAGGTTGAGAAGTCCCACAGTCTGCCATCCTCAAGCTGGAGAACCAGGAGAGCCAAGGGTGGGATTCACGGTGAGCCTGAAGACCTC